GGGGGGGGTTACGCCGGATGTCCTTCCTGACGCAACCACAGACACCGAGCTACCACAGCCCTCTGTGTGGAGCAGAGAGCTGCTATCTAGGACACCCGGAGGAGCAGATGGTGGGGTTAAGGGCCTTGATCAAGGGCCCAGAGGGGGACGAGCATGTGGGGGGCAGTTGTGGGTGCTTCACCTACTCAACCCACATTTTTGATGTTGTCGGTACCGGGGCTTGAACCAGCAATTTTCCGATCACAGGCCCACCTTCTCTAACCTCTGCGCCACCACTCCCCTTGAGGAAACTATACTTTTAAGCAACAAAAAAGGTTAAATCATGTCATCCGGACCAGTTTCTTTAAGTGAGAAACCTTTCGTCCCCCATCCAGAGGACTTCCTCAGTCTACAGCCTGCCGAACAGATCTGTCCCATAGGTAGCCTTGGCTGCTGTATTTCAAGCCAACCTCCTGTTGTAAACTGTAAAGAAACATGTAAAGAAACTGGTCCAGATGACATGATTTAACCTTTTTTCTTGTTATCTACTTGGATGATTGAGCTTACAACATTTTTCTGAACCACTTTGACCTTGGTTGTCCTCAGGCTGTTTCTGTGAGTAGCAAGTTGGCCATCTGGCCTAAAACATGTGATTGTTGTACACAAGGGTGTCAGAAGCATCCGTAATGTGGGGGGACACAATGATGTGTGTAGTTGTGTGTGTGCGTGCGTAAAAAAAGTGTACACTAGTGTACAAAAAAACAATATTTCACCCAGATTTCCTTTAATTCCACACATTTAAAGCATGTTTCTCACCAAGTTTGTGTAAATTCAGTTGTGGGTTTTAAAGACATTTTAACTTTAATACACTTTAATACAGAGCGTCAGGTCGGCACTATTTGTGTTTATAGAGAAATAAAAAACATCACCACTGGACCTTTTTTACTTGTGTTCAACACTACTCATCTAAATGATGTTTCTCATGAAGCTTGTGGACAATAAGGTGTGGGGTTTTAAAGACATTTCAACTTTAATGCACCTGAACACACAGAGTCTCTTACACCTGCAGCCTCACAGTTACTGCTGAGCTAAGATGCTACAGACGTAGCTCCTCTCAAGCATCCTCCTAACATGTATGTATGTTTACGATCAACCTCCTGGTCAACCACTGCCCGCACTAAGCTCGCTAAACTGGCGAGCGAACAACGCAGAGGTGTCTCTCCACCTCTTCCACCTGTGCGTGTTTTCTGCCGAGGCAGGAGGAGACGTAGAGGAGAAACACTGCAGGCAGCAATGCTGCTGTGTTTAGAGTTAGAGGTAACCAGGAAAACCTGGAGTGGAGTTTTAGTGGTTTGACTATTCTCCTATTGATCAAGTAGAATGGATTTGTTCATAAAGAAAGAGAAACTGTGCTGCCTGGACTAATGTTTCATAGTAAAAGTGTGTGTGTGTGTGGGGGGGCAAATGAATTTTTTTTTTTTATGTGGGGGGGACACTTCACATATAATGAATGCGACGCCACCTATGGTTGTACATGATGATTGATTGTTTTGGATGGGTGTGTTTTGAGCATGTTTAAAGCCTACTTCTGAGACTCCAACAGGAGGTTGGCTTGAAACAGCAGTGAAGGCTACATATGGGACAGTTCTGGTTGGCAGGCCGTAGACTGAGGAAGTCCTCTGGATGGGGGACGAAAGGTTTCTCACTTAAAGAAACTGGTCCAGATAACACAATTTAACCTTTTTTGTTGCTGGACAATTGAGTTTACAACCCCCTTGTATATACTTCTAAGAAATATAAAAACAAGAAAGCATAGTTTCCTCAAATGATGGGGTGGTTGGTTTGCCTTTATATGGTGGTGGCCATCTTAGATTTGAACTTGGCATCCCAGTTTTCAGTAGGAACCATTCTTATGCCTAGATGCAGCCACACATCAATATGGATGGACGGAGGGTGTTTCCAATTTGTTGCTCTGCGACAGGGGACAAATAAGGAAATGTGAGGAAAAATACTGGACAGGGACAGAAAAATGAAAACATCAAAATCTCAAAATCTTCATGATGTCACCTGCATCATGAAGGACCCCACTAACTCAGCACACTCACTTTTTGCCCCGCTCCCCTCAGGCAGAAGGTTGAGGAGCATTAAGTGCAGAACCACTAGACTGAGGACGAGCTTCTACCCTGAAGCTGTTAGACTCATGAATCTCTAACCAGAATAATCACTGTGAAAAATCACTGTAATGCCACTTGATTGTTATGTGCTGCTGATCTCATGCTGCTGATCTCATGCTGCTGTGTTCATTCGTACTCATCTGCTCACACAGACTCATGTTCGTGCTGTTGTTGTTCAGTGTATTGTTTTTGTACTACTAGTGTTAAGTGTATTCTTAGTTTAGTGTATTTCTTAGTTCATAACTTAAATTAAATTAAAAAACCTAAATTCAGCATATCAAATAAAAACAAAGATGTGTAACCGTCGGTCATCACCACAGAGTATTTCCTGGCTTGTTGTTAAAATAACTGGCTGATAAATCACACACAGGGAGGGCAACAGGTTTGAATTTTATACTTATTGACAGTTTGGTATGGTTTTAATTACTTGAGTGAAATCTGTGAAGTGGTTCGGTTATATTTTCCATCTTGATGAGAATAAATGTTTGTGAGGTGCCATAAAACAGGATTCAGACTGTTTTCAAACTCGATCTTTGAGGGATTTACTAAATGAAACAGGGTATCAGCTTGCACCTAAGAAAGACATTTTTTGTTCTGTAGAACTAATTCCAAGTCTACAATCCCATCTTGACTCTTTTAACAAATGGTTTCCTTTGCAGGAAATGTCTGAGAAGAGTCTGCGTGTACGACCCCTCAAAGTTTGAATGGAAGGACCTAGCTCCTCTGAGGACTGCTCGCTCTCTGTTTGGGATCACCGTCCACAACCAGCAGATCTTTGTGGCTACAGGGGTCACTGACTCGGGCCTCACCAGCTCTGTGGAGGTCTATGACATCCCCACCAACAGGTGAGACCTTTTGATTTCATGAGTCGCATTATGAGGTGAAGCATCTGTCCACAGAAGGTAAAGGACTGTATAGTGTAGATCGTTAGGTCCTAAAACCTGCTTTGTTGTACAGCTGAGTGTTGCAGAGTGACAGCTATGGGGTGCCGTTTGTAAAGTTACACAGTCAAAAATTAACAGTAATATTTTGGTTTATTTAGCAACTCATAAAAAAAGTTTTGTTTTTCAAAGTCATATTTTCACCATGTTATTCATATAAATGTCATATTTTAAACTAAATATTTAATTTAAAAGCTAAATATTTAGTTTACAAACTAAATACTTAACTTGCAAGTAAAATTTTTAGTTAGCAAGCTAAATATTTAGCTCCACACTAAATATTTAGTTTACAAACAAAATGTTTATGTCCAAACTAAATGGTTAGTTTACAAACTAAATTTTTAACTTGTAAGTTAAATGTTAAGTTAGTAAACTAAATATTTAGGTGTATATTAAATATTTAATTTCCAAGCTAAATATTTATTTTCAAAACTAAACATTTAATGTCCAAACTAAATATTTATTGTCCAAGCTACATATTTAATTTCCAAACTAATCATTTAATTCCTAAACTAAACATTTTATTTGCTAATTAAATATTTAGTTCGGACCTAAATGTTTATTTTCCAAGCTAAACATTTTAAATTCCAAAATAATTTTTTAATTAGCTAACTAAATATTTACCTCAGACCTAAATATGTATTTTCCAAACTAAACATTAAATTTCCAAAAGAAATGTTTATTTTGCTAACTAAATATTTAGCTCAAACCTAAAAATTTAGCTAATGTGCAAATTCCTTGCCAAGCAGAGGTGGACTATCAAAATAAAAGCTGAACCTCTATATATACACCTCTTACCAAACAGCAAAAAAAAAAAAAAAAAAAAAAGCAGAAGTAGAAGGAGAAGAAGAAGAAGAGTTTCAGCTGGCCAGACTGAATCGCTTCACTTTTCACTTATGTGCTGTATTTTATCGTCATTCTTTTCCTCTGGACTTGGCAAACGAGTTGGCAGAGAACAATATGGTATATAAAGAGGTTTGGCTTTTATTTTGATAGTCCACTTTTGTTTTTCGGCAAGGAATTTGCATATTAGCTAAATATTCAAGCTTGAGCTAAATAATTAACTTGCAAGTTAAATATATAGCTATCAAGCTAAACATTACGCTAGCAAGTTAAATATTTTGTTTGTAAATTGAACATTTAGCTTGGACATAAACATTTAATTTGTAAACTAAATATTTAGTGTGGAGCTAAATATTTAGCTTGCAAACTCAATATTTAACTTGCAGGTTAAGTATTTAGTTTGTAAACTAAATATTTAGCTTGTAAATTAAATATTTAGTTTGGAACTATGACATTTATAAATGTATGAATAACGTGGTGAAAATATGAGTGAAAAAAATTTTTCTTATGAAAGGCTAAATAAACCAAAATATTGATGTTAATTTTTGACTGTGTAACTTTACAAACATCACCCCATAAACAGCTACTGTAACTTTGTGTGTGTCTGTGGTTGTGTTACACTCCAGGTGGTCCGAGTTCACCGAGTTCCCTCAGGAGCGCAGTTCCCTCAACCTGATCTCAATGGGGGGCTTCCTGTACGCTGTGGGGGGCTTTGCCATGATGCCCAGTGAGACCAGCGAGGACCCTGTCCCCACAGAGATGACTGACATCTGGAGGTGAGCCTTTTGAAGGGTTTTAAAGAGGAAACCGTTTTTAAAGAGTGGACACCCCTCTGTAAAATACACGAGTCAATAAAAATCAGTTTTCATTAGAAAATTAGAATTATTAACCTTTGAACCATAAATGTTTTTTCTCATCACGTCAGAAGTTCAAACTGTTTGTTGATCCAAATAAGGGTTAGATTATATTTTCCATTATTTAAGTCATGCACTCTAAAAGATATATATATA